TAGATCAGATACTAGTTCCTTTTTATATTTAAATAATTGTAGAATTATATTTTCCATTAAATGTTACATATCACAAGACTCTTTAGCATTTATTTTCAAGTGTCAATTGAATTGAATTGAATTTATTAGGAATAGCGCTACGCATTTTATTGATGCGTTAATTAGTTTTAATGTACAAGTTTAACGTATATATCTTTAGAAATTCATTCAAAGTGTAATATCATACGAAATTGTCTTACGGCTTTTATACTAGATATAAATTAACTTTTATAGTAGATAGTAGATAGCATTAAACTTCATGGAAAAAATTATAAAAAACTTGTCAAATCTTACAAATAATGTCATCACAAAAAGATTTATTTGTTTCAAAATACTATAAAGTTTACAAAAAAATCAGCGAGAGACAAAATTGTTTATTTTCTCCTCGTAAAGTGCTAAGAATTTTTTTCAGAATTTTTTCAGAATTTTTTAAAACTGTATTTTTTTATGTTGGTAAAATAGTTGCCAATAAGAAAATGCAGCACTAAAAAGTTGATGAAAAATTCTGAAAAAATTCTTAGATTTCTATGAAAAGAAAATAAATAATTTTTGTCTCTCACAGTTTTTCTGTTAAGTTGATAGAATTTGGGAAAAAAATTATTAAAGATATACCACTACATACATATTCGGGAATTTTTAATAATATTTTAATAACTTAATAACTACAGCGAAAATTGCAAAATGGTAGAAAACTTTTCAACTCAATTTAGTCCGTTCTATCTACACACAAATCGCGTTTTGTCAAAACTTAACCGTCATACTATATATTTATTATTCTTTCTGGCAGCACTTTGTAGGACATCGACGTTACCGACCCTTTTTAAGCCGCGCAGTCTGTAGTGTACCTCTCTAACCGACAGGGAGCGCTTTATCTGATTGAACAACGCGTCCGCGACGATGGCATTGATGGCAACCACGCAGAATCGTGCGAGATCGAAAGATCATGGTGTCGTCCGACGTATCGTCCAGCGCATTGAGCCGCATCATCAGCAAGAATGTAAATAAAGCGCCGCTTAGCTGACCAGTCCGAGTGTAAGAGGCGTAAGAGCACGTCGCTGCGAGACTCGCAATATGCGCGTAGCCGAATACGCGACGACAACCGGCCCATTGAGCAATCACCAAAGGTGCGTAGAAAGATGACCCGGTCTGTCCCATCGAACCACTCGACCTAGCGACAACACGTCGTCCTGTTGACACCTTTATGTCGCGTCCTGTTCTACGTCATTCGTCCAATGATTTCTGACGCGTCGATCAGGGCCGCTCTACTCCCGGACCACGCACACATGACGGACGCTCGTATTCACGCGCCCACTATTCATAAATATGTGTGTATATATATATATATATTATATATATACACACACACACACACCACACACACATATATATATATATATAATTATATATCGGTATTATGATAGTTGTTTGTATTGTTTTGTATGCGGGTTGGTAGGCACGGGCAGAGGATGTGCGATAATTGTCAGTCATTTCGATTCCTAGGACGAATTGTCGGTTTTGTCAACAACGGTGAAATTTTAGAGCGAATAGATTCTTCTTTGTGGAGAATAAAAGTTCATAAGAAAATAGGTGAAACGAATGGGAGATATGAAGGCAATTCGTTTTTCAAATAAGGTAACAGCAAAAAAAGTGTACTCTTCCTTCCTATGTTGCATAATACTGTTTTGTTCTTAGTATGAAAAATATTTGCTTTACATTTCTGTTGATTTGAAAGTTTACTGATTTCTATTGATTTTCTAATTGACAGTTATGTCTTGAAGAGAGAAAGAGAGAAATATTTACAAAGATTTATATCTTGAGAGTGAATTTTTTAATTTCTTTTTAATTCTTGTATCTCGAGTGTTTTATCTCCAGCACACTTGTAACGATTCATTTAACTATTATATTTCAATCAGTTTCTTATCTTATGTGATAAACCAAGAAAGTGATATCTACAGATTTGTTTGTCAAAGAATTAAATGTTATTATATTTGCTACTCTTGACAAAATTAATACTTACTTTATATTTTGTACCATTTTTTTAAATGTTGCTACAATTATGATTATATTTTTTAGAAAACATGTTTATTTATTTACTTTGAAAAAATTCTTAACTGAAAAATATTTTAATCTTCTAATTTATAAGCATTAAAATGTAGTAAACATTGTTCATAAATTTTTAATTGTTATTAATCAAATTGATGAATAATATTTGATTCAAATAAAAAAAATCGTAGATTAAAGAGATCAAACTAATTAAAACATTTATTCATTAAAAAGCAAAATAACATTTTACTAATTACAGATGAAAAAAAAAAGATATTTATTGAATACTAAATGAAATAAATTAATGGTTAATTAAATTAAAATTATAAAATTATTTATCGTGTTGTGCATAATTAATTTTCAAATATTTTAATACATTTTTGTATGTAGTATATTATATATTAACAAATTTTTATTAACAAACTAATAAGTTAATAATATAATGGTATTATTATTAATTTATGAAATTTTAATTTTTCTTTAGTAAGCCAAGCTTCTGTTTTTTTGTTCAGAACACAAAAATCTTAAGAACAATTCCATTCTATGATAATCTGTTTTTACTGATCACTTATCATTAAGTTGTGTGTCTTTTCCTTTGTTTTTCTCTTTCCTATTCTCCCATTATGACTGAATAGTAGATAAACTCTACTATTTACTAGGCGTGCATGAGTAGGCAAAACTGTGATAATTTACTGCCAGAAGAAATAACAGTTCTTGCGTTATCTATACTGACTTAAGTATACATACTGTACGTAATTATCTCTAGGGATAATTCTCATGTTTCTGCAGAATATCTCTAGAAATATCTTTAGAAATAGTTATGATATATATTCAACATACGGTATAACTGCATAAATTTTGAAATAAAATGTCACCGTTTCATCAGTTGGTAATAAATCGTTATTTTTGCAGATGAACGTTCCATTGTTTGGCGTTCTCGGAGCTGCCGTTACTCTGCTTGCTTACATCTTCGGCATAGGAACAATTATAAAACTTTTAATCTGCTTGCTTACGTTAATTTTAGGGTAAGATAACAATGTCTAATTAAATAATGTATTGTATATAAAATATACAAAATACTTACAAATATTAAATAGTGCAAAATATGCATTAAAAAAAATCATAAAAGAAAATATTTTATTGCAGAACATTGATTTGTATATATAGAACGTATTCACCGAATCTCGACAATGTAATTAAGTCTGAAAGGGAAGATTTAACTAAGAAGACTGAAAAGTTCCGGCAGGTAAATGAAAATTTTAAATTTTTTTACCGTTTATTCGTCACTTGTTACATCACATTCCATATATTATATTTGCAGTATATACTAGATCTGTCTAAGGAGAGGATGACATTTACATTAGATAGAAGAATAACTGGTAGTTGTATCATTGATGAATCCCTGCAAGTACATATTTATAGAACAATATTTATAGAATATTTATAGAAGAATATCGAATTACCTATTAATTTTTAGGTTTAATGTATCTGTTACTACTTTTAGGAAATCTTGGATTTCTTAATTAGAGATTATGTCGAACCATGGTATAGTGTTGTTACGGATGATGAGGAGTTTATCTATTCCGTTCGAGATACTGCCCAAAAAATCGCTATCAATGTAGCAAATCGGTATGTAGAAATATTTTTTATTAATATTTACTAATTTATTTATATAA